ATCAGCTCGCGTTTGTAATTAACACCTAATTTTAACAGAGGCAAATTCTTTCCAGCAGCTTGCCAATCCTCATCGCCTTTCCCACCACATTTCAGCGGGATTTTTGCACCGCAGCTCGAAAAGCTACAGTTTTTCGCCTGTCATTTCCACATCAAGGGAAAACACACCGCGGAGGTTGCCGAGGTTTTGCCCGCTGAGGACGAGTCAACGAAACTGCCTGGCATTCGCCACAATAGCTCCAAAGTTAGTCCAGAGACCGCAATATAAGAGCGATCAAAGTTTCTGCATTCAAGCAATCAATGTCGGAAGTTTCCAGCGGAGAGTTTGCAGCAAAAAAGACGTTTTGAAGCCGTAGCAAAACGTATTTACGCTCCTTCACTTGTCACTGAATTAGAGCTGAAGGCAGATGGAGGGATGGAGCAGAAGGATGGAGAAGAGGGATGGAGAAGAGGGATGGAGAAGAGAGTTAGAGAAGAGGGATGGAGAAGAGGGATGGAGAAAAGGGATGGAGCTGAGGGATGGAGAAGAGGGTTGGATAAGAGGGATGGAGAAGAGGGAGGGAGCTGAGGGATGGAGCAGAGCGATGGAGCTGAGAGAAGGAGCTGATGGATGGAGAAGAGGGATGGAGAAGAGGGATGGAGATGAGGGATGGAGAAGAGGGATGGAGAAGAGGGAATGAGCTGATGGATGGAGTAGTGGGATGTAGCAGAGGGATGCAGCTGATGGATGGAATGGATGGAGCAGGCGGTGGAGCTGATGGACGATGGAGTAGAGGGATGGAGCTAATGCTGAAGCTGAAGCAGTGGCCTCTCGAAAAAGCCATGCGTGATATCGGTAATATTATTCTTTTAACATTACAATGGGCAAAATTTCATCACAATAATATTTGACAATTGCACCATATTATTACTATTATATTAAGAACACAAACGCACGAACTGAAAACATCACAAGCGTCGGCACAGAAGTCGACAACCGAAGCCAACCAAAGTTTGGCTTCCTGTTCTTGTCAAAATCTTTCGTTTGACGCAACAAAATAAAGTAATTTAAATAAATTAATGAATAGATTTATTAATAATAATTTGATTAATAAGGAAAACAATGAAATAAATTAATTAGAGTAATAAAGTAATTTCAAGTGAAACGAAATAAAATTTCTCGTTAATTCATCCATGCGTTTGTTTTTCGCGTTTTGTTTTCAGGATGACAAGCGATTTTGTTCAGCGGCGAGCGAGGCTGAGACGCTGACCTTGAAAAGACGCTTCAGCTGTGACCGCTAAAGCTGCTCTACCCGGCCGCCCTGACACTAGTACACTGACACTAGTACACTGACACTAGTACACTGACACTAGTACACTGACACTAGTACACTGACACTAGTACACTGACACTAGTTTTAGTACACTGACACTAGTACACTGACACTAGTACACTGACACTAGTACACTGACACTAGTACACTGAAACTAGTACACTGACACTAGTACACTGACACTAGTACACTGACACTAGTACACTGACACTAGTACACTGACACTAGTACACTGACACTAGTAAGCTGACACTAGTACACTGATACTAGTACAGACATAATAGCACACTGACACTCTACGTTGTAACTTTCTTCAACTACGCTATTTAGTAACGTTATAAATTTCTTAAACTACGCTGTTTAGTTACGTTACAATTTCCCCAAACTACGTTATTTAGTAACGTTGTAACTCCATTAACTACGTTATTCAGTGACGTTACAACTTCATAGTGGGATTAATTAATTGTTTGCTGCGGACATCATTTAACACGTGCGAACGAGACGACTGTGTCATTAGGAACACTTGTGCCTAACGGGGTTTGACTGATCGTTATTTTATGCACTTTTGTGAACTGAACATGATCGCAGGGATGAGGATAAAAAACTTGATCGCAGTGATGAGGAGGCAAAACTGGGTCATCCTTACCCATTTTTGCCCTGTAGTGGTACGTGTTGAAAGTGTATCACAATTTAGACAATAAGAACCATTCATTTATATAGGTGTAGAGTGCGTGTCAATGGGACTGCGGGCCAGTGCAATTGACGAGAGTCACAAATTCTCGCGCGCCGGACGAAGATACGGAGAACAATTTACATTATTAGAGAACATTTTACCTTATTAGAAAACTTTTTACCATATTAGAGAACATTTTACCTTATTAGAGAACATTTTACATTATTAGAAAACATTTTACCATATTACAGAACAATTTAATTCATTTAAGAACCAATTTATTTTAAATCAGATCGAAGCAAATTGATTAGTCTCCTACTTCAATAATTTGGTATGTAACGTTAACAATTGCTCATATTTAGAATAAAAATAAAAATTGAAAGTGCTGGGATGGGCTCACGCGCGTATATTAACGGTATATTGAAACCTGAATGAACTCATACGCTGAATAGAAATTCTCAGGACATGCTTAATAGATTAAATATAATTATTTTCTGACGAACTGTTCACTGCATTAATCATTGACAATTAGCCTACTACGTAGCATGTTGGCCGTTGCACCCATGGGTGAAAAAAAAACACTTGTGCTAGTTAGTTGCATGTCAAAGACGAATCTCTTCTGGAGAGATAAGGAAAAATGATTGATTTAACACTAATTTAGCTTATCACTTTGGCTCTAATTGCTCAAGAATTTTCGCCTAAAAAATTTCCTTTGAAAATTAAATTATAAAATAATAAGATATGCTAATTACACTCTGTAATGATAGGCGTCTCACGTCAGACATATCGCACCACAACACGTCAGATCGATGAGCGAGCACAAGCCGACGCACCCTCACTCGAACACCTCTACGTGGACACTGAGAGTCTGAGACTTCGCGCCTCCAGAAGCGGACTGAATATCAATGAACCCGGATTGCCCAATTTTTAACATAGATTTATTTGCTGCATGCAATATGTCGTTTATTTAAGAAGTTCACAACAATCATCGCAGAAAATAAAAATAATGTAAAAATTAAGTTGTCATATGTTGAACCGCAGCTTTGAAACGAGATGCTGGACAAGTATTTTCAAGATTAATTAATTCGTATCCACTGAATGTTTGCATGCTATCAAGCATGTTAGATTATCTGAGTGATATTCAGAATTAAAAAATAGGATTAAGTTTTTGTTTGTAGATATATTACATTAAAAAGAATCATCATTCCCACTTGAAAATGAAGTTGATAACTACATATTGCATAATTAGAAGAAAGTCGACTAACATAACCTTTTCACAACCACGATAAATGGCCCCTCCCCTGACTCGAAATTCATTACTAGTTTTGTTAGCAGTTTTGATACCCAATAAATTGCATCGTGAAGATTGAAAGCAAGCACAACAATTTCTACAAGTCAAATAGTGTCGGAGTAGTGCGTTCACAGACCAGAATTTATAATTAAAATATGTTTGAGCAACTCAAGCTTGCTGCTAGCATGGTTGAATTAATTGTATTAATTTCAACCATGGCTGCTAGCTCCTCCAGCTATGGTGCCGTGACTGCCATATAATTGAGCTAACTTAGTGCATACGTCGTGAGTCGGGTGGCTAATTGTTGCATGTATCTAAAGGCCCGTTTACACTAGTGGCAACAACATGCGCTTGGAGTCGTTTGCTGCAGTGCCTCACCGCGCACAACCGTTTACACTACTTTTGTACTCGGTTGTTTGAGACCGCGCGCTTTGAACACTAGTTGCCACCTAGACGTCAATGAGGATGGATGTCACCGAATTTGAGCTGTGGGCCATTGTTCTCGGGTGTGTTCTGGATTTAAGTGAATTTGCATATATTACAAGCTTTGAACGGCCCTTACCACGCTTTTGAGTGATTACAAAATTTCACACAAGTTCTTTGGCGTGATGATAATTGTTGAACCTCAGTGTGCGTGTCGAATTTATTGTACTATAGACTTTTTTATTCCATACCTTTGAGCTCAATACACTCTTGAATTGTGTTGGTAAACTATTTCATTGTTTTCAATACACATTTGCATTATATTCCATATAAATTTGTCTCACACAACAAAAAGCCAAAGTCTGTCAAGAAAGTTAGAACAAAATTATCCGACATTCTTGCCTGGATGATCGAGTAGCTCTACCATACTACGTGCACTCAGAAAAATCAATGAGACTCTGTTCATATAGTGATGCTCATTTTAGCTTTGCATGAATCATTTTGACTCAGTTTGGCCCTAAAAAATGACATATAAGTGCTACGCGCAGGAAGTGTGTTTATATTTGGACAATATGATCCGTCCATTTTTCTGAGTGATGACGACACTGTCACTTTACTGTCGGTACACCGTACTTTATGACCTTATGATGAGTTTAGGACTTTGTAGTCCACGGTCACGCTGATGCGCCGCCTTCGTCGTCCTATATGCAGAAGGCAAGGATATGCAGAAGGCAAGGATATGCAGAAGGCAAGGATATGCAGAAGGCATGGATATGCAGAAGGCAAGGATATGCAGAAGGCAAGGATATGCAGAAGGCATGGATATGCGTAAGGCGAGAATATGCAATTTGGTAAGGGCAAGAAGGATATGCGTTCATAGTTGATCAGAGCACATTTAAGCTCGGCTGCCAACGAGCCTCATTGCATGTTGTACTCCAGACCCGATAGCGACAGGCTTGTTGAGAAGCCGGCTGTAACCTCAGCAACAACTTTTTCCCTCTAGAACTACATGTGTGAGCTCCCTGTTAAGTCCGTAAATAATGAAGAAGATATCGAGTCCGCTGCATAGCAAATCGATTTCGGTATCTAAAAAGCTTCTGATACAACCGAGTCCAAAGGTGCAGACTGCAGTACCTCAGTGCTCTGGTAGACCACAGCACGAGGGTGCGTTACTGCAACCATGCTACTCTCAAGTCATTGCAACGGATGCTCCTTCTCCTGGCGCAGTAAAAAAAGAAAAAAAGATGCCTACAGACGCCATGTTCTGAGACAGTTGTGAAATTATGAAATTTAAATAATAATAGATGACAGTTACAGGAACACAAATACTTCACACACCTTTTTTTCTGAATAATGGCAGTAACTTCAAAAGGAGGGGAATTCCACAAATATCTGTCATGTGTAACAAGCCATTCAGCATGTTAAGGCTGTTCTGTGAAAGCTCCTCTGCTAAATGCCTGCAAGGAAACCTGCAAGAAATAAAAATAAAAGCATTCTTATGGCTGGGAATCACTAAGCTCAATAATTAACTCGTTCTCTGCATAGATTCCAGAATGCAGTTGTTTAGCTCAAAATCCTCATGAAAAATTCTATGACTGTAATGTTATTCCTAGCCAATTTCACGTGATATTACCGAAAAAAAAATTATAATAATAATAATGATGAGATCATCATTAGGTCTTCAGCGACTAGAAATATTTTTCGACAGCGGGTCGGAACACTGACTGAATGAAAGCTCTGACACAAATAAAAAGTTGCACATAGTACACGTCAAGCATTACAATTGCAATTCAAGCATTACAATTGCTTCATATAATTTACGTATGACTTGTCCAATTGTCTGCACTCAACATAACAACATAAACTATACTTATGTAAATCTGCAGTAGCGCTTGTGGCCTAACATAAAACATACTTACGTAAATCTGCGATAGATCCCAAGCTTCGATAAGCTCCACCTTTCAATAGGCAGGCCATAGCGCTCCGCTATATCAAGGATAAGCTTCAGTGATTCCAGTCTGGAAAAGCAAAAATATTTCTAATCTTTCAAAAGAATTTGATATGTCTCAATACTCAATAGTGGTGGCACTTAGCCATTGATTCACGCAATTTTACAAGATGTTCGAGTGAAATTGCTTTGCGAGTTTATATCCACAAATTAGTAATGCAATGTAAGGAAATGGCCTGCAGTAAATATTAGAAAAGGCCAACTGATTACAATCTAAACATAATTAGAGACAATATCTGAACTAAATGACAAGTATTAGGGGTTTCTTGGTTTGATTCTTACCTATCTACTTCACACACACAATCCAGAGAAACATCCCACTTATCAATGGTTTGAAATAGGTAGGTGCACTGGCCGATTCCAAGCAACATGAATTTTCGTATCCATCAATTTTATTCATGCAAAAATTTGGCATACCTAATTGAATTATAAAGTCAATGCATATGGCCACTAAAGGGTAGGTATCCAGATCAACCAAATAATAATTTGACTTACTGCATATCTGATGAACTTTGAGTTTTTGGAGATCCGATCAAACCGCACTGTTCATCACACCTTCCCGATACCGAGAGCTCGGGGCAGAATCTGAAAAAATATAACTCAGTACTCACTGCAGTGAGTGACCGAGAGCGCATTTTCTCGTCGACGAAAACTTGAGGTCACGGACGGACNTGTACTGTTGGTACACTGTACTGTCGGTACACTGTACTGTTGGTACACTGTACTGTTGGTACACTGTACTGTTGGTACACTGTACTGTTGGTACACTGTACTGTTGGTACACTATACTGTTGGTACACTGTACTTTCGGAGTGTCGGTACACTGTGCTGTCGGTACACTGTACTGTTGGTTCACCGTACTGTCGGCGCCCTGTACTATTGGTACGCTGTACTGTCGGTACATTGTAATGTCTGCACCCCGTAATGTCGATGCGCAGCATACTTTCGATATACTGCCCCATCAGTGTGCTGCAGCGTTGCTACACTGTATTGCCGGCACCCTTTCCTTTCGATATACTGCTCCATCAGTGTGCTGCAGCGTTGCTACACTGTATTGCCGGCACCCTTTACTGTCGATATATTCTCTTACACAATACCGTCAATCCCTCTGTAGTCGTTACATTGAAGTTTCGATGCACTGTAGCTACTGTTGGTCCAGTGGACAGTAGCACGCTGATACACTGTAGTATTGATACACTGTCACTATATTTTTCTGTACACTGGCATACTATTTTAATGTAACCTCGCTACCCTGGAAACACTATTAAAGTGTAACCTCGCTACTCTGAGCACATAGTTACACAGTAATATCGCTATTCTGGGCACGCTATTACACTGTAATGTCAAAGCACTGGCAATCAGTTACACTGTAATTTCATTACACTGGCACACAGTTATACTGTAATTTCATTACACTGGCACGCAGTCACACTGTAATCGCACTGCACTAGGCACAATTTTACACTGTAATATCGCTATACTGTTACACTGTAATCTCTCTACACAGATGGTCTCACGCATTAATCCTGAAGGACTTCTCATTCAAGTGTCATGTCGCAAGGTGCCGCATTCCTATACACATTCTAAATCAGCATTAGCAGTCCACGCGTCTTGGAAGCATTCAAGTGACTCTTAAATGCTGCACGTTTAGACAATTTTGCTCCCGGACTCGCCGCCGATCTCCAAATTCAATAACCTAACCTCGAAATCGAAAAAATTGTCACGAGCTAAACATCATAAAAATAACCTCGAAATCGAAAAAATTGTCACGAGCTAAACATCACCGTTCGGAGGTTAGGAATGAATATTCAAATGTTTGTTCAAATCGGGTCACTAGTTTAGAAGAAATGTCTTGGTCACTGCAAATTTCCGCCCGAATTGCCTATAACTCACGAATTAAGGTGAAATGGAAAAAAATTTCACGAGCTAAACATCACCGTTAGGTCCTGATGAGTTCGTGTACCAAGTTTTATCGAGATGCGTTCATTAGTTTGAGAGATATTCACTGGTATTTGGTAACCGAATTTGGAGACCGGCTGCGAGTCCGGCCGTAAAATTGCCCCAGACGTCCAGAAACTGTCGCACAGAGCTGGGATCGAACCCGCACCTCACTGAGCCTAACTTGCAACTGGTACTCTGGAGTCTGGTTGAACTGTAACCACTGGGCCACCCCAGTCATTATTTTGATTCAACATTTGACAAAAAAATTTTAATCTGAAACTACAAACTCGAAAGATATACACTCCATTCACAAATAAGAAATTAAATGTATGTGGATCGTCGAGGACATAGAAATTTCTTGTTACCTGTGAAATTCTTTAGAATCAAGCACAGCAAGGAACCGATTTTTGAAAACGAAATGAATTGTATAAAACTGAGCTTAGAACTTCAATTAGAAGTGTTCTTTATGAGTGTCATTTTAAAATTTTTTAGTAATTATGCAAGCACTATTAGAAGAAATAAATTAAGCTGCAGTGAATAAAAACCAATGCATGCTAATGCTCCAGACAAAATGCCTTTTTTTTTCTTTAAATAAAAAACATTGATTCCTTGTGATTTCTCATCGCCCATATCAATATAGCAATTTATTTTCCATCCACAGACATTCATCCCAGTCTGTTTTGCAGTTTGAAATCGATATAGTTCCGTAAAAACAATTCTATGTAGTCGATCCTTTTTTTAGGTTCAGCATATAACAAATCAGGTATGCTACTTAACTGCTAACTTAAATGAATAACTTTATTGACGATTACTGTAAACATAAACCCAGTCTCCAAGTGTGAAGTATTATTATAAGTCCCATTGTATTCTCGATACGCGTGTCCATGGTTGAATTAATTACTTTTTAAAGACAACACTTCTGAAGAATACAGTGTTTCTAATGTCACACATCTACAATGAATTTCTAATTTTGTTTCCATATATTGAAAAAATAATTTCTAAAATTTTTAATAGATAGAAAAAGATTAAATTTTCAAAATTATTGTGTCAATTGATTCATGCATTGACTCCGACTTTACGCCGTGTGTAAAGTTTCAGATCGATTGGACAGGTAGAAGTGTGTTGAATATCCATTATGATTTGTAGAAGACAAAATTTTTCAATTTTTTTAAATAAAAAAATTCAAATTATTTAAATTATATATTCTGTCAATTGATTCATGCATTGTCTGCGCCTTTACGCCAGTGTGCAAAATTTCATATCGATTATAAGATTTGTAGCAGACAGACAAGAAGTGAAGTTAAAAAGAAGTGTTGATAAATATATTGTAATTCATATTCTTCAAGGAGGGAGCTGATATGGGTTCAGAGGTTATTTTAAATTTTTAGGAATTGTTCTTTTCGAACAGAAAAAGTTTTGCAGCGTGTTTTCATTTTTAATTCTACACCGATTGAGAATACTTTTACCCCGAAAAATTATTATTTCGAGTAAAATGTGTATATTTTAGACTGCAAATTTATTATGTGATCAAAATAATCCAAAGTTACCTCGTGAACTTTTGAAGAAACGTAATGTTAAAATTTTGAAAAGGTTCGGTCCAGCAGTTGTAAAATTTTGCCTTATCACATGGAGTGATGTTAGCAATCTTTCTGATAATGTCCTCTACAGTTTTAAAACTTGAACGTAATTACATCAGACAGAATGCGTACAAACAAGAAAATCAGAATTAAACTTTATTAGTAATTATTCAATAGCTGTGAAAGCGACACCGTACCTGAAGAAGAGAAATTTTCTCTCACATCACAGTGTTAAAGAAAAGCGACTCAACAGAGAAGTAGTTCCGCATTTGGTTACTTAGAAGCGACTCATTAGTCACTACTATCATATAAGCGTACGGTACTGTACGTAAACACTGAAGGCTGGGTTAAAAATAGCCCCTTTATTTCATTCATCCTTCAGTAATGACATCTAACAACGATCGACAGAGCACTGGATACGTTAATTTCATTTCGGATCCATGACTAAACAGCAAGGCGACCGAGACAGGTTGCCTTGCACCGCACAGATTGCCTGAACAGGTGACAGTAGCTCCTAACGCCTGTTTTAAATAGATACACAGGGCTGACATGGTTTTGTGTCAAGACCTTCGTTAAATTCCAAGAGTTACGATACTCATTAAATACAAGAAATTGACCCTGAGATCCATGATTAAAACGCTTTGTGCAATTTACTGGAATAATTATTCCGGGAAAAAGAACCGAACTTAATGGAATAATTCAGAGACTCGTGATCCTTGTTAACATTACAGTGCCTAAGAATTAGAGAACTTATTAATTAACAGCATGAAACTCGTGCTGAGGAGAACCGTAACAGCTCGCTGGATGCAGGTGATATGTCAAACATTTCTTTCAATTGGCGGGCGGCGCAGGGAAAATTAAGAAGTCATGGCGAAAGTACAGGTATTCCCTGAGAGTGGCGGGCAAGACGCCTCGCAAGCCTTCCGTCTTCTCCTCAATCCTGCAGTGGCCGAGGGCAGCGCGGATGGAGAGGCGGCACAGCTCCTTCAGCGACCGCATCGGATCTGCACACCAACACAGGGCTCTGAGTCTTGGTTGACAAGTGACCAGGGGCCATACTTTCAAAATTCGCTAAGTAAACGTAAGTACTTACGCTCTATTTTCTTGTCTATGATTGATGGATTTTGCTTGAAAGGCCATCAATGATTGTCTGATGAACTCACGATCTCTTAACTTTTTTTGTAAGTATGGGCCCAGGTCACTGAAAGATGCTTATGATGAATAATGAAGTGGTTTGTGAATCAAATGATCATTTGATCGTTTCTTACGTTAACAATCAGTAGTTCATTATAGCGGATTAATTCGCAGACATGGGCCATATTGAAATAATTCATCGTGAATGAATAGAAGTCACAGCGTCTCCATAATAGGTGAGTGGTTATTTGCTGGATCAGGGGTCACAGTGGTATCCGTGGAAATGAAGTGGCAGACAGGGCAGCAAACCTTGCGCACTCTAATGACCGCACAGCAAGATCTCAACTGTGCTTTGAAGAATGGATTTTCACTGTGAAGTCACTCACCAATCAAGAATGGGCTCGCAAATGGTCAGATGACGTACAAGAAACAGGAAAAGGGACCTTCCGAAGAAGTTTGGGACCTGAGATATCTTATGTGGACTATGGATCGCTGCAACGCTCAGTTGAATGCGCTGTGTCACGTCTACGCCTTGGGAAGCTGGCGTCAATGCTCATCTGGCCAGATTCAATTTAGCTGACTCAAGTAACTGCCCAATATGCAATGTGGAGGGCACAATCAGGAACCTCATCCTGCACTGCACACAATTCATCAACCAGCGAAGAGATTTCCGTACTAGACTGGAGGGCCTTTCTTTGCCCTGGGATCTCTCCTCAGCTCTTGGCGGTGGGGATGCCCCAATGAGGAGACGCACTGCTGCCATCCGACATCTTGGTCAATATTTGCTTAACTGCAACATGGTAACCAGGCTGTAAATATTCTACCAAGCCTAATTGTACCTTTTCTTTTCACAATTTACTGCCGCACTGGCTGGTGAAGGTGCTAGAAAGTAAAGAGATCTAAAAGTGAAGTGAAGTGTCCAAAACCCCATTTGTGCTCAGGCTGGGAGGTGTGCTACCGGCATACCCGAAGCCTACAAATCAATTATAAAAAAAAAACGTATGAAAAGGGCATGAAAGTAGATTCTAAATTCTTTGTTTTCTTTCACCTCTTTTGTTTCAGTCAAATTTATTCTAGGTTTTCCAACATTTTATGCCATCATAATTCGTTTAATAACAGTAGTAATTAAATCAAGTTCACCAAATTTTAACATTAAGTCATTAACCGTGAGACGTGAGTTAACGTCTCCACCCGGACCACCCCCAGGCCCCAACCGCACCAATTCCCAAAGCATGTCAATTGCTGCACATCCACATCCTGACTGTCACAGTCTGACCTTCGAAATTCAAATTACTAGTCTCAAAACGGTCAAGTAACACAGGTTCCTAACTTCCTATAGTTGGCTTGGCTAGCGTCCCCGGCAATATCCTCTATTCTGAATTCTCTAATGATCTATCATCTACCTAAATCTAAAACATCAAGATCAAGTAGAGTTTTGTATTATTTTACATAATTTTAGCTTCCTGCTTACACCTGCTGCAAATTGGAGATGTGCAAAATTTTCTTGTGTGTAATTATAATGCATTAGGGTAAACGCGGTATATTCCGACATCGTAGGTAATTCCGTCACCTCTCCAGCTTTTCCTTTATATTAAGCTTTGTTTTAGTTCCATGCGTTTGTTGATTGTTGAAATGGTGATGTCATGCATTTGCGAGTCAAAATACTGCCAAAACACTAGGTCTTGGCCATCTAGTGGGAAAATATTGAGATCCAAAGAGAGACAATGCATGCCACGTGGTGAGATCATCGAAAAATGTGTCAAATTTGACAGTTGACATGGCTCTTCAAAGCTTTGTACAAAAATTGAAATTTGCTCAATTAAAAGCCTAATAGCTGTTAATTAAAACGTAATTAAGTAGTGTTCAATATTCGTTAGTGTTCTAATTCAAAGCCGTGTTGTATCCCAATACAGCTCACACAGCAAACGGAATTTGTTCTAATTCAAAGCCGTGTTGTATCCCAATACAGCTCACACAGCCAACGGAATTTGAACACGTGGATGTTGGCAATACGTATCAGTTAAATTTGAAGCGCTGACGCAATACGACTCACCACGTGTCGAATATTGCCACACAAAGTGGCGGAATATAGGGATTTGGTAGGTTTCCATTCTAAAGGCTTTTTAATAAATATGGCAACATTTTGTGACGTTTCATCGTTGCTGACGTGTAGTGACTAGTGAAGTGTTTTGAGAGTCATGTGAAGGCAACAGAACTTACGTAACGCATACGGTTTTTTTATAGTTTTTCATTTCTCGATGCGTCCTTAATGTGTCGGAATATACCGCGTTTACCCTACTTTTTTCGAAATAATAAATATTCAAATTAAACCAGAAATGTTGAGAATATCAAATAATATGTGATTAAATTAAGATGCCAGAATATGAATGTTGGAGAAAAGTATAATTTTTCGCAAATTAAAATAAATTGAAAAATGTGACTTATGAGACACAGGATGAGGATTTTAGTAAAAATTCTAGGTTATATATTTTCAATTTTGCATTGAACATTAGAATGCAGTAATGCACAGGGTTAAGGTAAACGCGGTATATTCTAATATCGTGGGAAATTCCAACACTTCTCAACTTTTTTCCTTTATATTAAGCTTTGTCTTAGTTCCAGGCATTCGTTGATGGTTGAAAATCTGAAATAGTGATGTCATTATTGTCATACTATTGCGCACCATACTATTGCCAAAACACTAGGTCCGGGCCGTCTTGCGAGAAAATGTTAAGATCCAAAGAGAGACAGTGCACGTCACCCAGTGAGAACATCAAAAAATGTGTCAAAGTTGATAACTTGATAGTAGACGACAGTCACTAGACGTAGACCTTGCTCTACCAAATAGTGATAAACTGTTTGTGTAGAAAGAATATTATGGTTTGAGACTTTTAAATAAGTCTGTGAAATCCAAAAATTAAAACTTTCTTAATTAAAAACTTAATAGCTCTTGATTAAAAGCTTAATTAAAAAATTAAAATTTTTTAATTAAGCTTGTTCTGAGCTGTGTCGTATTCCAATACAGCTCACACAGCTGTATTGGAATACAACACAGGGCGCCGGAATTACAAATTAATAGAGTTTGAAGCGCTGCCGCCTGCCAGAATTAGTTAGTTTCACAATATGCCAAATTTAGTCACGCACAGCGTCGGAATTCAGGGATTTTGTAGGTTTGAATTCTAAAGGCTTTTAAATAAATATGGCAACAGTTTGTGATGTTTCATTGTTGCTGGCGCGTAGTGTGGTGTTTTGAGAGTGACGTAAAGCAAGCAGAACTTGAGTTGCGCATACGGTGATGTTTTTATAACCATTCATTTCTTGCTACGTCCTTAATGTGTCGGAATATACCGCGTTTACCCTTATTTGCAACTTTCAATCATCAAATTTCATGTTAGCCTGTTTAGGTAGGTAGCCAGCCTAAGGAAGGTAGATGAAATTGCAGCTTACCTACACAGCTAAAATTTTTGCCAAGTCATAAAATTATGAACAATAAATTATGCTGGACAAGTGGGGAGTCACTTGGGACAATATGGCAGATACCCAACAAAATTTACCTATTTTTTGCTGTTATTCTGCTAATGACTAGGCCATTTGAATTTATATATGCAGTATGTGAAGTTATTATTGTGAAATTTGGGATTGTATATATTAACAGATACTTTCTCAGTTCGTTTAACTGCGGATGTGAATCAATATATATTATCTAATTTTTTCAATAACATTTAATTATTGCAGTTGAACTATAATAACCAACTATGTTCAAAAAGTAAGTATGATTGAAATAAACCTATTTATATCTGATGTTTTAGGATGTTTTTTATATAATCTGGAATAGCTACTTGAGTTTGTCAAACTTTAAACTTGGAAGGTAATGAAAAATTAACTTCACAAGCTAATTTTTGTCTTTGAATGTGGATTGTTTGGCTTAGCTTCAGAGCCTTGAAGAAACATTGATATTTGATAATGTATATAAACATATATAAAGTTGTAAAATTTACCTATATTCATTGCTGAAGCTGAATTTTTCTTGTGATTGAATAATAAATAATAAGACTAAAGTTATCAACATCACCTTGTGCTATATATATGTATATACGGTATATATATTAATTGGTAATACTGCGACTTTTATTTATTAAATTGTGAGTGCTTTATTAAATTGTAAGAGTGATCATAGAACTGTGTTTGAATGATTCATTATATTCAGGTTTGATGAAGAATCTGTGTCGGGGAGCCAGCAGCTGAAATCTTCTGTGCAGAAAGCCATTCACAGGAAACTGGCCGAGGATTTCCCGCTCATTGAAGACTATATTGCAACCATCCTGCCTAAGAAAGATCCTTTTAAGATAATCAAATGGTTAGTTCTTCCATTATCTCACTTCATTTTCTCCCATATTGCAACCATCCTGCCTAAGAAAGATCCTTTTAAGATAATCAAATGGTTAGTTCTTCCATTATCTCACTTCAACCATCCTACCTAAGAAAGATCCTTTTAAGATAATCAAATGGTTAGTTCTTCCATTATCTCACTTTATCTTCTCCAATATTGCAACCATTCTGCCTAATAAAGATCCTTTTAAGATAATCAAATGGTTAGTTCTTCCATTATCTTACTTCAACCATCCTGCCTAAGAAAGAACCTTTTAAGATAATCAAATGGTTAGTTCTTCCATTATCTTACTTCATTTTCTCCCGCACATAGAATAGGTATGTTATGTTTACCAGTTGACTGGAGCTGTTTAACCACTGAATTATTTATGTTAAAATCTATATTTATGTACATATATACCAGTACTGGATTTGCTCTCCCAAGGTTGCTGATGTTACCTTTTTTAATAAACTTTTAATTATTTCTTAGTTTTCCATTAAAAGCTTATATCAATTGGTTTTGTTGAATAATACAATAAACTAAACTTAAAAGTTTCCTTGCATTACTCTAATTAAGTCATTGCTTTATTGTTGATCTTGATAGCTTATTTTGACATACAAAGTTCCTTAACTAATAGTAAATAGTACTGGGTACCTACTAAATTACCCTTAACAAATAATCCCATCTTTTTGTGTTGAAAATTTTCAATCCATTTTTTTTCACTTATAAACTGCCCCATGAATTCATATATACTTGAGACTATACCGTACCTAAAAGTTGAAATTAAATCAATGATAAAGAAACTCAATCACTATCATTATAATGAAATATTCATTATGAATTATGCTTTGCTTATCCATATATGATGAGTTATATAATATATACATGACTAAGTTGTGTGTTTGATGAATGGCTTTTATAAAGTTAGAAGAATCTTTATTATCCAAATTTATCTTTATATTTATTTATCTTTAGAATCTTGACATTATATTTTGTTTACAGTCACGAGCACATAGAAATACTGGTAAGAAGTGACAGTAAACTTCTCTTTTTCCAACATATAATGAAATATTCATTAAGAATCAGGCTTTCCTTAGCCTTTTATGATAATTTATATAATAAGGACATGACTAAGTTGTGTGTTTGATGAATGACTTCTATAAAGTTATAGGTTTAGCTTGGCATTATATTTAAAAAATTGTTTGCAGTCACGAGCACATAGAAATACTGGCAAGAAGTGACGGTGAGCTTCTCTTCTTCCGCCAAAGAGAAGGACAATGGATGCCCACCCTTAGACTCCTACATCAATGTAAGTATTGTAGCTGCTACATCACTTATTATATTTAGTATATGGTATACTACGGTACTAATTTTGTGTTTAATAAAGTATCAGATATAGCGCATGTTATTTATTATATATCATATTATTATTATTAATATATAATAATTAATTATATGAGTAAGTGTTATAGCTGCCACCTCACACTTATTATATTTAGTATATACTAATTTTGTGTTTAATAAAGTATCAGACATAGACCATATTAATTAAATTTAGATAATGTTATTATTAATATATATTGATTATTTACAATAAAGTATCAGATATAGCACATATTAATTACCACATATAATGTTATTATTAATATATTGATTATTTATATCAGTAAGCATTATAGCTGCCACCTCATACTTATTATATACCAATTTTGTGTTTAATAAAGTACGTACCGTAAAATGGGGTAACTTAGACCACTTTTTTTCTTATAAATGATGCCATTTTCTTACTAGCTAAATTAAACTTGAATTGAAACATGCAAAATACAGGTCTATACTCTAGCTTCACTCACCATAAATTGCTGGCTCCTGCCTCTCATAGTTNGCCAACATCATGTGTCCGGGCCTCACGTCACCCATGGCCCGCATGAGTGATGTTAAGGAAGGTGAGGCCAACATCATGTGTCCGGGCCTCACGTCACCCATGGCCCGCATGAGTGATGTTAAGGAAGGTGAGGCCAACATCATGTGTCCGGGCCTCACGTCACCCATGGCCCGCATGAGTGATGTTAAGGAAGGTGAGGCCAACATCATGTGTCCGGGCCTCACGTCACCCATGGCCCGCATGAGTGATGTTGAGGAAGGTGAGGCCAACATCATGTGTCCGGGCCTCACGTCACCCATGGCCCGCATGAGTGATGTTAAGGAAGGTGAGGCACAGCATGAGGCATGTTAAGGAAGGTGAGGCACAGCATGAGGCATGTTAAGGAAGGTGAGGCACAGCATGAGGCATGTTAAATAAGAGTGAAGGTGAATTAAGAACAAATAATGTTAATTAAACCATTGATTTAGATCAAGTTACCAGTGGTAGTGCACTAATTACTGATTATTTTAATTTAATTAATTAATTTGATTTAATTAATTTAATCCTTGATGTCAACGATGTAACGATCGTTACTGTGACGTATTGATGTTCATTCAGGAAATAGTGATACTAGTGACAATTAGCAAGAAATAGTGATACTAGTGATAATTATCATCACTATTAATTATTATATAAATCATTAACATGTGATGTAGTATTAATTATTATATAATGATTATATTGATTATATATCACGTTGTGATGCAGGCACGGTGGTGGCTGTGATGGCGGAGGGCAAGCAGCACGCCCTCAGTGTGGGCATCACGAAGCTCTCATCAGCCGACATCGCGAGCAAGAACAAGGATGTAGGCGTCGAGAACTGCCATTATCTTAATGATGGTTTGTGGTACATGAAGCCTCATAAGTAATGCTAATTAGTACTAATTAAATGATGGTTTGTGGTACATGAAGCCTCATAAGTAATACTAATTAGTACTAATTAAATGATGGTTTGTGGTACATGAAGCCGCATAAGTAATACTAATTAGTACTAATTATTGTTTTTTTCACCGCAGTGCTCTTTTTTTGGCCTCTTTTGGCCTTTTTTTTGGCTTTGGCCTTTCTGGCTTTGGCCTTTCTGGCTTTGGCCTTTTTGGCCTTTGGCCTCTTGATTTATATATTCTAATTAATATATATTTCTTACGTAAAAATTATCATAAATTGCAAATTAATTTTACTTATACAAAGTAAAACGAGATCACGAATGCGTAATGAATCTTGAAGCTGCATTTTCTGTTCATTGAACATCGCAATGAACACATCGTAATTTGAATGAACATCGTAATGAACACATCGTAATTTGAATGAACATCGTAATTTGAATGAACATCGCAATTCACAATAAGGGCAGGGAGACAGGATCAGTAAAATCTCAAACAAATACCAGCCATAAGATAAATACCACACAATAAGGGCAGGGAGACAGGATCAGGTTGAGGCAGGTTGGGGTCAGCACCGGCAGCAAGGAGGCTCACTAGAATCTCTTCCTGCAAGAACACAAACAAAAAAACAAAGCTAAAATAAATGCCAATGCATCAGGAAAGGATAAAAATTAAAGCTTGATATATAAAAATGAAATTATCTGCAAATGAACAGCATAAATATGAAAAAATAAGAAAATGGTATGCAAGCATGTTATAAATTGAAATGATTCAACTTGTTTTTTAATTAGAAATGTGATTATGGGCTTGTGAAATGAAAGCTGAAGCAAGGAACTGTAGATAAAATTTCTGTACATCATAAATGAAGTTTATTTTCCCAGCAACATGTAAAAGCTTTTAATTGCTAATTGTTAAACCTTAAATGTCACACATTATAATAAGCACAGTTTCCTCTTTACTCGATGGAGACGAAAGTTATAGTTTTGGTGCGGAAGGATGGGCCCAATGTTTTTACACTCTTAGCTGATATCTGAAACTACGAGTCGACAAAGTCATCGGAAAATCAATTGGTCATAATAAATGCATGAAATAGTAACCTGCATTTGCCGCTTTTCTGCCTGGAACCCTGGATACATTAATCTCTTACAGAGGAGCAGGAGTGCGGTAGATCGATCATTGCTCTCCCTGTTGACGTACTCTCTATCTGAAATGAACAACAATGCTTGGTAATGTATCAATTATTTTTTATATATACCTTCAACTGGGGTGACTTCGGCCGCCGGGTGACTTCGGCCTTGTTTTTTATTTTGTTTACAAACAAAAACGGGGTCGTAAATGTCGGGGTCATAAACGCCAGGGTCGTAAACGAGGTCATAAACGCCGGAGTGACTTTGGCCATCATTTATGACCCCGCTTTTGTTTGCAAAATAAAAAACGCAGCCGAAGTCAAACCAGTTGACAGTATTCTCATGATAATTTAGTGTAATATAAAAATGTCTGTTTAGTTCTCCACCACATGCAAAAAATGGAAGTGACAATGAACAACATAAATTTAAAGGTCTGAATTAATCAAAGCAGAAAAGGTTGTTCAAACTAGAACACTTTTCGAGCAACATTTATCACATTTTGGAGCTAAAGACTAGTTATCATGAGTGTCGAGAGCTAGGAGTAATATTTTTTTAAACATATTTCATTCATCTGCATTAACTGGAAGGAAACTTCATAAGGAAAATGCAGCAGCTAACAAGTCAGATGCAGCACTAGCTTTTAAAATATATGTTGAAAGTGTGAAAA